GGGATTGGGATTTCTGGAAAGAAATAAGCTTTTTTTTTTTTTTTTTAAAACAGTTTTGTAACAATATTCTCAGGTTCTGTTTTAGGAGGGCACTACATACTTTTTGGTGGTGGTGGTGGTGGGAGGGGTAAGTCCTTCCCATTTATGGGAAGCCTACTGCCCTAGCTTCTGGGGGAAATGGACCTTAGGGTGGCCAATCATCATTGTGTGGGCCTTGAAATTCCTTAATATAATGAAAACAGAGAACAGACTCTGTGGTTACTCATGAAGCTGCCCAGTGTTTGCACTTTTGACGTCTGTACACAGAGTGTTTTCTAGGAATATGCCATAGAAGCAAATATATATATGTAAAGCCATCTGTTTCAAAGACCTGTTCAGTTCTTAAAGAAACGGTTTAGTATGACTGGTCCACCTAGCCAGATAAACTTGGTCAACATAGGAGGCAAGAGGGGGATGTTTTGCTTCCACAGTTGTAAGTGGAAGAACAGAAGCAGCAGTGATTCTGGTGGTCTCAGTGTCAGATGTGACCATTTTGACATCCAGAGGGCCCAAAGTTTAAGACTGGAAGCAGGATCCCAGGAAAGTATCAAAACTTAAGGAAACCCAGAGTACCTGGCACTTTTGCCTGGGCGGATACACATGTAAACACTCGTCACAGGATGAGGAGGTAGCTGTCTACTTGGTATTCAGGAACTTTAAGAGTCAGAGGATGATATAGAAAATGAACTGAAAGAAAGATTAAGACCATCTTTGTTGGATAGATATCCTAATTACATACATTTAATAACAACAATAGAAACAATTCCTAAGACATAACATCCTAGTATTCTGTTATCCCATTGCGAAGGGCCTGTCTTTTATCAAGATAAATGTTATATTCACTTATATTTTAAAACAAAAATGGGCCATAATACTACCAAATGAAGGGAATGAATATTTTTTTAAAAATCAGGCTAGCTTTTTGGTGAAAGTGGAGGGGAGATGAATGGCCAGAGGAGCAATTTTGGTACTAGTAAGTGGGCCACATAAGTTGTCTAGATAATATGATCCATCATGGTGACCATGATGTAAGCCAGGGAGTTGTGGGGTAGGAAAGTTGCCTGAAAGAAGAGATGAAGTAAGACTAAGGAGCTGACCTATGAGTTTCCTTTATGGAGCAGACAAAAGTGGTTGAATGGTATTAGTTATACTTTAACTCCTTAGGAGCCTTTCAGGAGAAGGGGTGGATGGGTGAGAAGGGAAACCCCCCTCAAGAGTCAGAAGACACAAAAGGGGTAGAATTTTTCTTAGTTTTTCCCCCCTTCTAATTCTGGGTCCATTCATCATGCCAAAAGAGGCTCTCTCACTGATTGTGAGTTGGGTGGTGGTGGTAGAATGGATGATCCAGAGCAGAGGTCTATAATAATATCTATACAATAGATGCATGATAAAAATGATAGTAATAATATAAAGCATGTACTGTTCACCTGTGCTCCATGCATTTCAAATTCGAAATCTCTTCACCCATTTTCAGTGGTATCCATTTAAAAGTAGCAGAAAGCCAAGTTAAGAGTCTAAAAAAATGTAGATGAAAAAAAGAAAAAGAAACATTTTCTAGCCTAAAAATAAGACTGGGAGTCTTTAAGTCCTCTTCTTGGTTTTTATTTCCTAGTGGATCTCACAGGGCTGACCACAGAGCTAACTGGGCTGATTTTCATCCTGTCACCAGAAAGTGGACTATCTGGGTCTTCATGAAGGATGCTGTGATTTTGAAACCAGGTGGGAGAGATACTTTTTTTGAGAGCTCTGTCTGTTATATAGCTTTCTTTTGCCCATCAAAACCCTGCGATGGCTCTGTGGTTGATTGATCCATTCAGTCAGTCATTCAACAAGCATTTATTGCACTTACTACATGTGGGGCACTGGGCTAGATTATATATATATATGAATAAGATACAGTCCCTGCCTAAGAGAAGCTCAAAGTCAAGTGGGAGAATCACCTATTTAAATGTATGAGGCCACAAGTGCTTTTCCATGCAGTTTCAAATGCTAAATTGATACTCTTTGGAGGAGGAAAGTTGTATCTGAAAAAAAGAAAGAAAAGCCCCTTCCCTTAGACGTAGCTAGAGAGAAGGAATCATTTCATATGTTTATGAGAAATTCCTTCTCTAACTTTTCCAAGGGTTCATATAAGTTGAGCTTCATAAAATTCCAAATCCCCCACTTTTAAGTGGGTGAGAAGCAGAGAGCCTGAACTAGTACCTCTATATTGATTGGTCTTGCCAATGACAGAGCTGCTGGGCCTCTCACTTTTCTTCTCTGCAGGTCACCTGGAACCTGGGGCTGCCCCAGCTCTCTCAGGACTTGGCAGACACCGGAGGTGGCAGTGAAGGAGACAGTGGTGGTCAATGTTATTTGAGCAGGGTCAGCAGGCCCTGGAGCTTCCCGAGTGCACGATGCAGAAGGCTGCTTACTATGAAAACCCAGGACTCTTTGGAGGCTATGGCTACAGCAAAGCCACTGACACATATGGCTACAGTGCCCCCCATCAGCCTTTTCCACCCCCTACTGCTGCCAACTCTCTGGACACTGAATACCCAGGTTCTGCCTGCTCCATCCAGAGCTCTGCACCTCTGCGAGCGCCAGCCCACAAGGCAGCTGAACTCAATGGCAGCTGCATGCGGCCTGGCACTGGGAACAGCCAGGGTGGGGGTAGCAGCCAGACTCCTGGTCTGAACTCAGAGCAGCAGCCACCACAGCCCCCTCCTCCACCACCAACCCTGCCACCTTCCTCGCCCACCAATCCTGGAGGTGGAGTGCCTGCCAAGAAGGTCAAGGGTGGGCCCAATGCTTCTGGCTCTTCAGCCACCATCAGCAAGCAGATCTTCCCTTGGATGAAAGAGTCCCGACAGAACTCCAAGCAGAAGAACAGCTGTACCACTGCAGGTAGCTCTTTGAGGGAGCTTACCCCTGGGCTACATCCCCTCCACACTGACCCCAAGAAGCTAGCCCTCCTAGGAACCAAGAGACTCAGGGCTGGAGGTGCAACCTTGGAGGCCATATGTCTAACCTCCTACTGACACAGAAATGTCCCTTCTTTATAATGTCCCTGATTGGGGGTTATACCCTTACTGTGATAGGGGCTCCCTTCCATTCCAGGCTGTTGGTGGCATGGCTGGGCAAGTCTCATAGTTATTAATAGACACCCTTTATACTGACCTAATATCTGCTTTCCTAGGCTGCTGGTCATAATTCAGCTCCTTTTTTCTATCCAATAGCCCTTCAAAACTTGGTGAAGGATGTTCTTCACCAAGGTGTAGTCCCTATCACATGAATCCCAGTCTCTTAAATTAATAAGAACTAAAGTCTGATGAGTGCTATGTTTAAGAACATGCTAAGTGCTTTACAAGCATTATCTTATTTAATTTTTCAAAGAACCCTCTGAGGCAGGTATATGATAATATTCCCATTTTATAGGTAAGGAAACTATTAGAGATGATAAGTGACTTGCCCAAGACCATAAAATAACAAAGTGGTGCACTTAAATCTAACCAGGGTCCTCCAAGGCATAACCAAGGGATCTATTTGGCCCACCTCTGACCAATTCTCCCCATCCCAGCAAATCTATAATATAGGGAGGAGCATATCCTAGGGCAGGGGTGGGGAGCCCTTTTTTCTGCTAAGCACCATTTGTATATTTATAACATCATTCTCAGGCCATACAAAATTATCAACTTAAAAATTAGCCTGCTATATTTGGTCAAACATTTAATTAACTAACCCCACATGCCTTGGCAGGGCCAGACCAAATGATTTCGATTTCGTGGGCCTTATACAGCTAGGCCCACAGGCCAGACCCCCCACCCCCCACCCCCAAGACGATATGCTCTGAAACAGGAGTAGCCTCCGGTTGGTTGTGTGGTTGGTTGTGTTCCTCTCCCTGGAAAGGGAGACCCTCAAGTAGAGAAGCTCTTCTGCAGGCCCATCAGGGTGTGTGGAAGAAGGTGGGCAGGGACAGGAGCTCTGAGGCTTGCTTCCTCTCTCTTCTCAGCTCGTTTGGTTCCTGAAATTGTTTGGCCTTGTGTTTTCTGATGTGGCTTATCTTCAGGGTAGATGAACTTGCTTATCCATTCAGGGCCAGTGTGAAGCCCGGAATGCAGTGAGCTTGTTAGCACACCAGGTCTCTGGTTTGCCTGCTGCTCTCTGGGACTGCTGCTCCTGAGGGAAAAGTATCTTCCAGCCCCAAGCTCCTTCTCCCGCCCCTCCTTCCCAGCTGCCTGAGAAGGCCCTCCCTCCCAGGAGAAATCCATTTGTCTTCCCAGTGAGGGAGTGGACAAGCTGCTGAGAGGTGGCAAGGGTGGTGGAAAACAGTGTTGAGGCTGCTGGTCCTAGCACTGTGATACTAAAAATGCTCCCAGCCTGGTGTTGGGTCCCCTAAAACCTGGGCCAGTATTTTTATGGTTTATCACCTCCCTGCATTTGGGTGCGGCTGGGCTGGAGTGAGGTGCTAAGATCGCCACCCTCAGTTGATGCTTCCTGGGTGCTTTGCCCAAGAGCCAGTCCCTGAGCAAGGCAGGCTGGGGCTGTTCCCTCCCCCACACCCCTTAGCAGAGGGTAGTGTTCAAAGAAGTCTGGTCCCCCTTTGGCAGAGGGGAGGCCTTACCAGCTGCTACTAGTCTCCCATTAAACTCCTCCAAGGCCTTTGGGACCGGATGATGGACTAGGCTGGCGGGGAGGGGCTGGGCCGAGGGAATCAAACCTCAGACGGCAGATGGGTGTTTCAGGTGCGACTGATTGGCAGGCCAGGGGCAGTGAGTTCCTCCTTAGAATCTCACCTCGCAAACGCCCCTCCCCAATCCAGCCGGGATTAAAGTGGGGGGAAGAGGAGGGAACCAGGGAAGCACTTCTTTGCAGCCCTGGGTGCCCCCACCTCTCCCTCTCAGCGTCCCCCCTCTCTCCCTCCCTGCCCAGGAGAGAGCTGCGAGGACAAGAGCCCGCCGGGCCCAGCGTCCAAGCGGGTGCGCACCGCGTACACGAGTGCACAGCTGGTGGAGCTGGAGAAGGAATTCCACTTCAACCGCTACTTGTGCCGGCCACGCCGCGTGGAGATGGCCAACCTGCTAAACCTCACCGAGCGCCAAATCAAGATCTGGTTCCAGAACCGGCGCATGAAGTACAAGAAGGACCAGAAGGCCAAGGGCATCCTGCACTC